GTTTTCACCTGCGCCTCTTCTCTTTCTCCCCAGCGTGTGCGTGGACTCAGATGACGGTAGGGGAGCCACCTTACTAGCCCAGGCCGAGTCACAGGAGGGTGTGTTCCTGCCGAGCACGTGGCAGCACCTTGTGCTCACCTACTCACAGCAGCCGCAGGGGAAGAAGAGCGCCCACGGGGCCGTCTCCATGTGGGTGTCCGGGCAGAGGTAGGCATCTGCGCGGAAATGTCTGCATCTCGCCTGGAAGTTCAGCTGGAAGTTAGAGCTACAACACAATACAGAAACCGTGGGCCGCATTCGCTGCATATTAACATAGGAATCCTGTCCAGGCGGGTCTTCTTTTCTACTTTTCACTGTCATACCCGTAAATCTCCCGTGGAAGTGACTGTCGGAAGTGGTGTTGGGGAGGAGCAGGCGGATGCCTGGACGTGTAGACGCTCGTGTGCACTGCTCCTTAGACCAGGGAGCACGCCATGTCCTTACGCCAGGGGGCACACTCTGTGGCCTGTCCCTCAAGCCCAGATACTAAAAACATGAACCCACAAGGAATTATTTAGATTAAATGGCCAATACAGCTGATTACCTCAATTCAGTTCGGCTTAACAAAACTCAGAAAAATGGAATCCAGTGGGTCCGGTGGCCCAGCTGATTCAGGCAGAGCCCTAGCGCTATGTCAGGCGGAGTGGAGGTGGGGTGCTCTGTGTGTTTCAAATTGATTTATTCTTTCCATGGAAGAGAGACAACGCTCCACAGGGTCTCCAGGCTGCATCCCCCACGTCAGCCATCCCTGGGCGTGGGCACTGTGCGCCCTGCGGACTCAGGAGCTCTCCGGGCTTGAACGTCGAGCTGCCCTGCGTGGGGCTGCATCCCAGAGCGCCGTGAGCATTTGCCGCTCTGCGACAGTCTGTCCCCCATACTGCCTGACCCTTTCACCGTACAGAGTTGAGGGCAGGGTCGTAGAACGCTGCGTGGAGTATCACCCTGAATGAAATGTAAAATTGCTGGGATCTGTGAGAATTAGGAGGAAGTATCTCACGGAGTGAGGTGCATGAGGTCAGTGAGCATGGTCACCTGACCCACCTCCCTGTCTCCCCCCACTGATTTCTGCATTCCTATGAGGATGTTTGGCATTCAGTATTAAGTAATGAGTTTGTTCCTTAACAGTGGTGAGCAGATAACCACAGACAGATACATGATCCTCCTGACTTAAATGTGGCCAATCCTGGGGCCAGCAGTTATGGCTATGTCGCTGAACTCCCATGTAGTCTATCATGATTCAAGTCCCAGACCTGGTGGCTTAAACTCACGCTGGGTGTGTGCATGCGCACCCAAGATCCCGAGAGGAGAATGGATTGCCGTGTGGCCATCCCCCCTGGGTGATTTCTCGCTTTCTGTCTCTCTCTGTCTTTATAGCAAAAAGAAAGAAAAAAAAAAAAAACAAAGCCATGTGTTCCGGCCGATACATGATCTTCCTGACTTAAATGTGGCCAATCCTGGGGCCAGCAGTTATGGCTATGTCGCTGAACTCCCATGTAGTCTATCATGATTCAAGTCCCAGACCTGGTGGCTTAAACTCACGCTGGGTGTGTGCATGCGCACCCAAGATCCCGAGAGGAGAATGGATTGCCGTGTGGCCATCCCCCCTGGGTGATTTCTCGCTTTCTGTCTCTCTCTGTCTTTATAGCAAAAAGAAAGAAAAAAAAAAAAAATGTGGCCAGGCTTTCTCTCCTCTGAGCTAGAAAGTAGTTTCTAGTCAGTTCAGGCCCAGGCAAGATCCTGTGTGCACGCCCACGTCCTGGGCCACCAGTGGCAGTAGTGCTCCAGTTACTGCCGTGTACGTGGGCCCAGAAGCCGTCACCAAAGATACCGCACATCTTCATTTTAAACTGCTATTAAAATGGTTAACTCTATATGCTAATATGAAACAGCGCTTTCAGGAAGGGTTTTAAAATGAACGTGCACAAAGTTGAATTTCTCACTAAGAGCTAGCAGTGCTGGCTTATTCGAAATGTATGTCTTCCTCACCAGCTTCATGTAGACTTTGCCTTTATAGATCTCACTCCTTATCTTTTTGTTTAAGTTACTTCTTCCATGAGCAAGAGACACAGAGACAGCACACCGACAGGGTCTTGCTGCTGCCATCCACCCCGAGCTTTGCCAGCTCTGGGTCATGGCACACAGAGAGGGCTCTGGACATGCACCCAGAACACACCACGCAGCCCGCCGAGCAGGGCGTTGCAGCTCACTGCTCCGCGCCCTGCAGCCTCTCCCTCGTTGCTCCTGAGACAGGCTGGAGCTTGTCAGCTGCAGGCTCACAGGCGCTGGGGCTCTCTCAGCCTTGGTCTCTCTGTCTGAAAGTACCTTTCACAGTACTCTACCTTCCATAAACATTCCTGTGGCCTTTGACACAGGACAAGACTAATCAAAAGCTTTATAATTACTTCATATTGAAACAACAAAAAAGCATTGGCATTTCTAGATCCAGAGGGAGCAAAACTAGAAAAAGTGCTATTCTTTCTTTATTTTTTGTTTTAAAAAAAAGAATTATTTCTTTAGTTTTATTTATTATGCTATTATTATTAGTTTGGTACAGGGCATATGCACTCACCAGCGAGAGTCAGAGAGAGAGAAAGTGAGAAAGCAAGCTGCCAGGTCTGGGACTCGAACCACATTCTACCATGTGGAGTCCAGGGCCTGAACCTCCATACCACCTGCTGACCCCAGAGTCATATTCTTTCTGATGAGGCTTCAAAGGCCTCCTGGAGAACATGAAACTTAGGGATTAGAATCATTTGCCAAGATGGAAGACGTTTTTTCTTTTTGGTTTTTGCCATAGGGTGTGTGCACCACTAGCTAGAGAGACAGTGAAAGAGAAAGCGAGAAATCACCCTCTGGGGGAATGGCCACACCACAGTCCCTTCTCCTCCATTCTCCTGGGGTTTTGGGCACACACACACACACACGGCATGACTTTCAATCTGCCTGGTCCCAGACTTGTACTGTGGTCGGCCATGTGGGAGTCCAGTGCCATAAGCTCCATGCCGCCTGCTGGCCCCAGTGGGAGACTTCTTGGTGAAATTGGTGGTGGGGAAGGGGGAGTGTTGTTCTGTATCTGTAAACCGCACAGGTGTGCATGCAGAGGCAGGAAGGCAAGGAAACTTGCCCAGGTGTCTGGCCACACCTCCGCGGTACGTGGGCTCCGCAGGCCCTCTTTCTTGCTATCCTCTTCTGTGGTGCACGGACCTCCGACTCTCCTGACAGAGAGACTCCACAGTCGGCAGCCACCCAGTGCCGGGCTGAGGACAGCCCTCGTGGCTCAGCCGCACTCCGCTAACCTCCACATTGGCACCGCTCAGCCCAGCTGTGTTCTTGCTGTAGGAAGCCTGGCCTTACTTTGGATTTCACGCTCCCGAGAAAAGCGGGCTTGTCGTCTGACAGCAATAGGACATTCTGCATGGTCGGCCACTGCCTGTCATCCCAAGAAGACTTTCTGCACTTGGCTGGAAAGTGGGACCTGGGGAATCTGCTGCTCTTCAATGGTAGGTTTCATCCCTTTGAGGCATTTTGAAATTGTTCTCGCAGTTGGGAAGTAGAACCTAAGTGAAGTAACCTAACAGTGCGACCCCTGTTCTTTCATCCGTGTCTAACAATCACTGTATGGCCAAGGCTCCGCAGTACACTCCGAAGCACTTCCGCATTGCTGCCATCCTAGCTGTGTCTTACAGCTGACAGATACCTGAGCTGGAGAAACGCACCCACTCCCTACCCTCCCCCAAAACACAGCTGCTTATCTAGGCCCACAGTCTCACCCCTGGAAGCAGCAGTACCATGACTGGTAAACTTGCGACTGCTTGTCTATTTTATTTACAATTTACAATTTTAGTAAATCCTATATAACTACCAGCTTTCAGAAGAAAAACAAACATACGATTTCCCTCCTTTATGAGCGAGGGTGCGGGGGAAGACAAACAAAGACAGGTATTTTGACAGGGTCACACCACGTTACAGGCCTCCGCCTGGACTCCCCGCTGCCAGGGTGCACAGCTTGCAGCTGTGCCTGCCGTGTTCGCACTGGCCCCGAAGTCAGCCTGGCCCTCCCACGTGGCCTTCGGCCTCCCAGACGTGGGCCTTGGCTGGACCTGGGGCACCTGACTTTGGAACATGCCATTAAACTGGGCACAGAGTGGCATTTGGACAGTGCTGTGGGTGGGGGGAGGGAGCAAAACACCCGTTCCATTTGTAAATGAAACCCACCACGGAGGGATAAAGAGCTCCCACTTCAGTTAAAGTGCACTTCGTTCTTTTTATTAAGAACAAAGCAAACGAGCTGAGTGTGTTCCCGTGTCAGGGAGAGCGCAGGAACGTTCTGAGTCCCTCCGAGAGCTTCTCCACAAGCTTCGCGTGTGCTGCTCGGCCGTCCGGAGCGGTGGCACAGGCGGCCCTCCTACTTGCGCAGGAACGTTCTGAGTCCCTCTGAGAGCTTCTCCACAAGCTTCGCGTGTGCTGCTCGGCCGCCCGGACCGGTGGCATAGGCGGCCCTCCTACTGCACTGCGTTGGAAAGTGAGGCTTTTCCATTTTATGAGATGCAGTGAACTCCGAGCTGGACAGGCAGATGACTCTTTTCCATTTTATGAGATGCAGTGAACTCCGAGCTGGACAGACAGATCACTCTTGGTTCCTTGCTTGTTAGGAACAATCTGGGCTAGAATGCTGTAACAACCACCTTTATTTTCGTGCTCTTTCAGGAGCTAAGATTGGTCCACAAGAGGCCTTCCACCTGTATGCCTGTGGCCCCAACCACACGTCCGTAATGCCCTGTAAGCATGGCAAGCCAGCGGACGACTACTCCAAGTACGTGAGCAAGGAGATCTTGCAGTGCCAGCAAATCAGAGAACTGTTTCTGTCCAAGAAAGATGTGGACCTTGGCCTCTTGATTGTAAGTTTTAACTTCATAGCAACTCTGTGTTGTTCTATAATGAACAGAGAACAGAAGTAAGAAATGTGTCATTAGCCTTGCGTCTGCTGTCTAGGCTTTCCACCTTGCTCGTTAATACTTGCTTTTCTTAGAACGTGTTTTTTTCCCTGAAAAACTGCGAAACACTTTAACCTCCTAACAAAATTTGCTTCAGGTTTTAAATTTACCTACCCTTTTCCTTATATGTCTGTACTTTATCAGCATATTTTATTTTACACCTGCTAATAAAATGCTTACAACAGAGAGACAATATAACACATTAGCCTGCAGACTCCTTTCATTTTTAAAAATTAATTGTTGTATGTCTTTACAGCACACAATATAATTTTTCAGAAACATTCATCACATTACCATCAAATCAAGAATATTAACATGTACATCTTTCCAGTCGGAGGATTTTACATTTTGATGTCTGTCAAGTACTTCCTCCCTAAGCACCTCCCACACAACTCACTCCCCACTCTCCCCCACCTCTCTACCCACCCCTTCCCCAGTAGTGTCTGGTCACCACACTTGTCTTCCCTGCCATTGTATCTCTGGGTCTCACAGTTTCTGTCATAGAGTGACATTCAGAACATACTGAGCGGGGACATACGGTGTGTCTCAGAGTCCCCGCACCTCACTCAGCAGCAGGTCACCTCTGTGACATTCAGAACATACTGAGCGGGGACACACGGTGTGTCTCAGAGTCCCCGCACCTCACTCAGCAGCAGGTCACCTCTGTGACATTCAGAACATACTGAGCGGGGACTAGGAGTCGAGGTTCATTCGTAGTGTTTTATTCACTGTAGAAACGAGAAGACAGGCCTGCTGCTCCCAGAAGGTCTGGGAGCTGGCGGACCTGACCAGCTCACAGCTACCCCTCCCCTTGCGTCTTGTGAGCAGGACCGTGGTCGGTTACGGGATTTCTTTCTTCTGTAAAGCTGCTCTTTGGGACTTTGTGGCTATTGTTGAGGTGTCTAGTTCAACTCAGAATTAAGAAGTTATAGCTTAGAGGACTGCTTTCAGGGAAACGGAAAAACACAAGTGATCATTTCAACTCTAGTCTCTGGCTGTCCTACCTGTTTTCATCAAAATATGGTTCCTTGACCCTTTCATTTTTTCTGAAAAGACTATAGGTCATGTAAGCCCTGAAATTTAACAGAAATGTTCACAACTGAAGACTCTGAAAGTTTTGCATGAGAACTACTGTTAGAAAGCAAACTCTTAAGCCTGCTGTGGCTATGTGGGGGTTCTGAGGCCGTGTGGCCAGGTGGAGGTGGTGGCCCCAGCAAGGCCTGGCCGTGGTTTCTGATGAAGACGACTGCAGGCTTGAAACTTCGTTTTTCCAGCATGGCCATATATGAGGGGACTTCAGAGTGTCATGGTAAAATAGCAGTAATGTAGTTTGGGACCATCAGTTGGCGTAATGGCTATGTCTCTGGACTCTGGACACATAGCCGACCACGGTTCAAGTCCTGAACTCGGTGGCTTAAACTCACACTGGATGCATGTGCGTGCATGCCCAAGATCACCCCGGGGGGTGATTTCTCGCTTTCAGTCTATTTGTCTCTGTCTTTCTGGCAAGTGCACACATCCTATAACAAAAACCTCTTAAAAAAAAATTAAAATGGTTCGCTTTTGGTGCAAAAAAAAAAAAAAAAGGAGATCTGTGAATAGTTTTTCCACGTACACATTTTCTGTGGCGATTTTGAAGACCCTTCACATAGCAGAGGCAGTTGGTTTGATCTGCAAGCAGGTGCTCCATGCTCAGTCCGATGAGCTGTGCGTAAGCTGCCCTGGGGTAAACGGCCCACACCAAGGCCCCCACTAGCTTCTGGGAAAACACACTGAAGCCCCAGGAGTTCCCTGAGCCCAGCCTGAGACCACCTCAAAGTGCATACTGCATTAATTTCACCTTCACTTCAAAGTAGCTCAGGGGGATTTGGCAGGGACCAGAACTGGTTGGGAACAGTATCAGAAGTCCCACTTAATTTAGGTTCGGTGTGCCGACAGTCTGGAACTTTATTCTAGTATTTGAGAGAGATCTGGTTTAGAGTCACTTGTCAGTGAATAGCCAGCCTGTGAGCAACCCCAAAGCCAAAGTCCAAGTCCAGCTAGGTCGACCTCGACCTGCCGGTTGTAGGTGCCGAGCAAAGTGCTGGCTGCCTGGGTGTGATGCGAGGCTTCGCTGTTAGCGGCTAGCAGCCAGTGTTAAGTTCACGTTCGTTCTGAGCGGACCAGCTCGGAATACCCCGCCTCGATGTGGTGTGTGCAGCTGGTGGCAGCCCGGCAAGACCGTCTGTGGAGGTGTGGCCTTGCTTGTTTTGTCCACCTTGCACCGGTGTGGTGGTGGTCTTGTTCAAGAAACGAAAAGACTAGTTGAGGGTCTTTTCACCTTGAAATATCGATTTGCTCGTTGGTAACTTACTTTTAAACTTTGCTTAGTTACTGAAGGAAAATATTTGTGTTTCAGGAAAATCTGTCCGTGGTTTATGCAACTTACAGTCCCGCTCATTATACCATCTATGAGCCGGTGATTCGACTGAAAGGCCAGGTGAAAACCCCACTCTCCCAGCGACCCTTCAGCCCAAAGGAAGCTCAGAGCATCTCCCTGGAGCCCCATCACCTGAAGACTCTCCAGCCCACAGCATGCAGGACCATCCATGGTGTTCTGCATGAACTTGGGGGTACTGGCGTGTTCATTTTCCTCTTCGCCAGGGTAAGTCACTGGCAAAATTTCTATTAAGAAATTACTGATTTATTATAGATAAATTAAAGGTTTTCTTTTGGATTACAAAAAAGAGAAGCTATTCTCAACTTTTAAACTTTAAGGAAAATTTAAAAAATTAATTTTTTTTTTTTCTGGAGAGGTTTTTGCTATAGGGCGTGTGTGCTTGCCAGAAGGACAGAGAGAGACAGAGAGCAAGAAATCACCCCTCCAGGGTGGATGGCCACGCGGCAGTCCCTTCTCCTCCATCCTCCTTTCGGGATCTTGGGCACACACACACGTGCCTGGCGTGAGTTTAAGCCACCAGATCTGGGACTCAAACTGCAGTCAACCACATGGGAGTCCAGTGACATAGCCATTATGCCAACTGCTAATCCCCCAAAATTAAACTTTTAAGAGAAAAAAAAAATCACATTTAAGGATATCACCAAGCTTTCTGTGTGGATGAGTAAGGTCCCTTCTAGCCTGTGAACATGTAAGTCCCTTATCACCGGAGTGCAGTAGGACAGTGACGTGTGTGGGCTTTAAAGCCACTTTCGGAAGACAGGCGCATGTGCCGCGGTGGCGTGGAAGAGACGCCCTCTGTAAGGCAAGGTCTGTGATACTTTATCCCTAAAGCTCCAGCGCATGGGGAGGACATCAAGGCCAATAATCAAAGCAAATAATTCAGAAAGAAATTTAATCTATTTGAGTTTGGAGTTTATTTTTTAAGAGGAGAAATGTAAAACGTAGCTTGAGCTATAGTGCTGTTGTAGGTAAGTACCTTATCACCAGTTCTGTGCATTTTCAGAGCAGAGACAGTATCTCTCCCCTTACTGAGTGGGGGTCATTTTGCCTGTGTACTGTCTCAGAGATCACTGGACCCTCCGTGGGGCACAGATGGGCTCACTCTGTCCCAGCCCTTCCAGCCACACCTGGGTGAAGAAGCCTGCTCTCCGCCCGCCCTGGGAGCGCCAGCCCAGCCCAGCCCAGGCGTCACTGGCACGTCGGCATCAGATCTCGACGCTGTCTGCCCCCCAGCTTCCTCTAATGGGATTGCCTTCGATTCATTCTGTGCGAGGGGGCGGCTCAGTGTTTGCCTGTGTTAGTCTTCTCATAGATATCTTCTGACCGTTTGACCCACCGTAGTCTAAATGATCCTTTCTCTCACCCTCTTCCTTTTTCTTTTTTTTCCTCCTACCTAGTATCTGGTTGAACAGATTTTCCCCTAGTGTTTTAAAATGAGAAGGTCTTGGTTTAACTCTTTCTCAACATTTTTTTATCTCCTTTTTTTTTTTAAAGAGAGATTTTTGCTATAGGGTGTATGTGCTGGAGAGACAGAGAGGGAGAAGTCACCCCCCAAGGGCAATGGCCTCACCACAGTCCCTTCTCCTCCATTCTCTTCTTGAGATCTTGGACACACACACACATGCACCTGGCATGAGTTTAAAGCCACCGGGTCTGGGACTCGAACCACAGTCAACTACATGGGAGTCCAGTGACATAGCCATTATGCCATCTGCTGGTCCCTGTGATCTCCTTTTAACCCTTGTAAAATTTCAAGTGTATATCCTTGGTTTTCTCTCTTTCATCAAGGTACACAATATAACTTTCTTAAGATTGGTGATACACACAGATTGGCTCTTAGAGAAAATGGTTAAATTTTTATGTTACATACATTTAGGATCTTGCCAATAAGATTTCATTTAAATTGCATGAGAGCATGTGTCCTCAGCAGGGAGGGAGAAAGCACACCCAATGGGGTATGGTTACACTGTAGTCTTTCCTCCATCTCTTCATCCTCTTGATATTTGGGGCACTCAAACACACATGCCGGCATGGTGTTTCAAACTGCCAGAGCCAGGATTCGGACCATTGTTGGCTATGTGGATTTTGGATGCCTTAATCCACGGGCCCAGCCTTCCAATAGGACTTTTTAAGTATTTTTAAAGTGTTTTTTTCATACTTAAAATTTTAAAACGTTTAGCGTCCTCCTCCTCCCTTCGGAAGTCGAATGGCATCTCCCTAAAGTCCTGCATGCATAGCCTGCCTTTGAGCCCCACCTTCACGGTGCAGCCAGACCACCTGTGACCCCAGATGTGCTGTGAGCTCTCAGGCTGAGCGCAGGCCCCTCTCCTGGCCATGCCCCTCCCCCAGCCCACCTCATCCTCCGCTGTCCGGGGTCTGGCTCCCCTTCCAGGAGTCCTCGCCTCCCCTACACTGAGTAGGGAGGGGTGAGACTGTCCCTGCTCTGCAACATCCCTGCCGCTTGCTGCCTGCCTTTGTTGTGATAGTAGGCGTGTCTTCCCAGGTTGTCCTGGCCCAGAGTGTGTGAATCGGACTTCTTCCCAGGTTGTCCTGGCCCAGAGTGTGTGTTAGCAGGTTAGCTCTGATCTCAGCAGGCAGCGGGCCCCACGGGAAGGCATTGTAGGGCTTCATTTATCTTCAGTGAACCTAACTCAGCCTGTTACTGAGTCACCCATGCAGGGAAAACGTGGGGCGTTCTGCTAACACTTCAGATCACCGATTATGAAATGCCGCTGGCTGCTGAGGTTAATGTTACTTAGTTCAGTCATGGTATCTTTAGGAGACTGAAAGTGGGAATGTATGCCTTTCTCTCGGTTTCCTTTATCCATCATGTTTAAATGGTGACAGTGTAAACAAAAAATAAACTTTAGGGCTAACAGGTGCATGATAGTTAAGGTGCCAGATCCCATAGGGCCAACTCCAAGACTCAAATCCTGGACCCGGTGGCTTGAAAAACATACCAGTGTGTGTGTGTACATGCATGCCCAAAATCCTGACAGGAGAATGGAGGAGAGGGATTGTGGTGTGGCCAACCTCCCAGGGTGATTTCTCACTTGCCCTCTCTCTCTCTGTCTCTCTGGCAAGCACATATGCCCTGTGGCAAAAATCTAAAAAGAAATGAACTTTATAGAAACAAATGGGTTGATACTGCATAGTGGTAAACGATCACATGTTAAATGTACTCTCAGCAAATTAGAAACATGTACCCACGTTTTTAGGTTGTTGAACTCAGTAGCTGTGAGGAAACTCAAGCGCTAGCCCTGCGAGTTCTACTCTCCTTAATCAAGTACAACCAACAGCGAGTTCGCGAGCTCGAGAGCTGTAACGGCCTGTCCATGATGCATCAGGTGTTGACCCGACAGAAGTGCATCGTCGGCTTCCATGTTTTGAAGGTATGGCCCAGTAAGCTTACTGTCGTGGTCTCGGGACAGGACAGCTGTCTCGACATGGCCGTCTTCGCTAGTCTGCGTATCAGTTATTCCTGAAGAAAACGAAGCGCGCGAGTGCTTACTAAAGGGGTCAAAGGTGCTCACCCGGTGCTTCACGTCATTTAAATAATTACTCTTTTTTCTCTAAAGCATTTTAGAAAAGTAAGGACAAAATAAATTCAGAATTTTCAGTCTGGACGGCCTCTGGGTGCCTACCAGGCCAGCCCCTCCGTCTGCAGTTGGATGACACTGTTTACTTGGGCTCCACCGTTTTGGAAGAGAACTCAGTTCTCCAGACACCCCGAGAGACATTCCATTAGACGGCGTGCCGTACAGCTGGGCTCTGAAGTCAGAGATCTGTGATAGCGTTTCTTATGACCCACTGTCCTCCTACTTCTAATACCTCTCTAGCTGCGAGCTGTCGATGACATGGTGACAGTGCCTCTCTCTGAGGTGCTGGCACTAGGGCACCGCAACCCCTTCCTCTCACCCTGCCCCTGAAGCTGTCCAGCCCTAACCCTCTGAGGCCTGTTCACAGATTAATTCAATTTAAAACATGAAAAATTACGTGATTTATTTTAGCCCACATTTGGCACTTGCGTAATCACAAATATTTGAAAGTTCGAAATCTCCTGTTTATTTGAATTGTTTTACAAAATATTACAGATATTTTATGCAATACTGAATTATTTACCAGTTTTCCTTTGCATCTGATGTTCTGGCTGCTAAGGTGGAAAGTTTCTGTCGAACTTTCTGATTAATTAGTTATTAATGTACCCTGTTCCTGGGTCATCTTCCACAGGCCCTCCTGGAAGGTTGCTGTGGTGAAGACATGGTCCGTCTCAGTGAGAACGGCGCGTTCACCCTGGATGTGGAGTCCGACGCTATCGTCCGAGACGTCAGACTGCTGGAGGAGCTGCTGCTCGACTGGAAGATCTGGAGGAAAGCCGAGGCACGTCTCGCACCTCTCCCCACTCCCTTGGTCACGGTCGAGCGCGGCGCGCAGGCCACCGTCCTGCCTCCTTCAGCGCGTTTCCGCTGCCTGCTGGCTGCTCGAGGCGGGTGTGTCCTGGGCGGGCACTCGTCTCCACCGCAGCCTTCCGGTGGTTGTGCAGTCAGCTGTTCCTGAAGGAAACGGAGGGGACGCGTTGGCCTGGTGGCTCTCTCCTCTGGTAAAGCCGACATGCTGTGCCGTTACATGCCGAACCCCCGCCAGCC